GGGTATTGTAGTTTACTTCATCTCTTCGCAAGTTCCTCCTCAAAAAAGCCCGCATCAATGATCCCATTCAGGGCTGCGTTCGGACACATCGCCAGAGTGTATCGTTTTATCCTTGTTTAACATTGGGTGAATAACAAGGATAAAACGATAAGCGGGGACACTCGGGTGATGTTTCCAAACGCAGCCCAGGGTACCTATTATGGAACAAAGTCGGAATGGATTCCGATCGAAATTATTCAATTATTCCTTAGATTTCTATTGTGTTTTCTGGAGAAAACGGAATAATTTCGATCGGAATCCATTCCGACTTTGTTCCATGATAGGTACTCAGGAAAGGATGAACACCGGATACGGATGCTTCACCACGAACAACTTCAAAACTTGATTCGCGCGCTTTATCATCGAAGGAACGCGACTCACGTCAATGTTGCAATGTCGAAAAGAATCACCCTCGTTCTGCGACGTAGCAGATTTCCGTAGCAGATTATTTCCGTTAAGCGTATACGTACAACGATCTGTTTCTTCGACACTTCACGTCTTTAACGTCGATCGTGTCCCGACGAGTCCGAAAAGAACGCACGACTCGATATTGCGCGCCCAAAGCAGAGACCGGCACTCACTCGGACTGCATTCGGAAATATCATCCAGGTGACTCCGTGTATCAACTTATCTTTGTTTAACAATGAGTGAATATAATAAGGATAAAACAATATACGGGGGCACTCGAATAATGTTTCCGAACGCAGCCCTTCTCGCATTCGTTTTGATGTTTATATCATGGCACGATCTCGATTATATATGACGAACTCGCGGCAGTCATACACTCGTCACTTTAATCGACACTCCCGACATAAATTCGCACTCATAACATGTTTCCGACCGATAAATTCGCGATTAATCACGGAGTAACTACCTTCTCCGAAGAACTGAATGAGCCGCCGAACTGTCATGGGTCATGGCGACTGGTGTCAAGAGGTATGTTCTTTATTCCTGCACTGTTCTGAACTGGTGCACACGGTGCAGGAATAAAGAACAGACCTAAGATGCCTTTACATGCGAGCGTCAAGTATCAAGCGTCAGAGCATGCGCAGTGACATATTAAATAATTTTACTGAAATGCATTGGATTCAATTACATTGCTGATAGAGGAATCTTATAGATTACATTACATAATGTAAATAAATGTAAATTTTAAGTATTATATATGTCAGAACATAGTAGCAGAGAGAAATCTGTGAGAGGACGTGAGAGGAGGGCCTTTTTCCTGTAACCGCAAAATGCCGCCGCGCACTATTACCCTCTGAAGAAGTGAATGTAAACTACACAACAATATCCATTTTTTTGCGGTGCTCCTGATAGAAATCGCTGAAATAGCTAAAATCTATCAAATTAATATTCAGATTTTCCTCTGCCTGTATTCACAGTCAGATCTTATATTTAAGATCGTCTTAAGACAGTCTTAAGATGCTATGAACCAATCAGAAAGCCATATTAGCATCTTGGAACATTATTTATTTAAGATGGTCTTAAAATAAGAACAGACTATGAATACCGACCTTAATGCCTATTGCACACAGGATACGATGAGAGATCAGCGACGAGTAATATCTAATAAAAACTCCGCTTTGTATCGTCACGTGCAAAAAAGCAGAGCTTTTGTCATACTGTGAGATTGAGACCTTAGGCATTAGTTCCACCAGCATATATAAAATATTGCATGATCAATTAGCCGTGAAAAAGATTTGTTCTCGTTGGATCCCACATAATCTGACAAAATCTCAAAAAGATGCTCGTGTCGATTGGTGCAAAGAAGTGATTCGAACGCATGCAAAAGTGTATAGATCATAAAGGAGAATATTTTGAAAAACAATAAAGTCATTTTCAATGACAAATCACTGTTTTTTTATTATTAGGCTCAAAATATAAATAGTGCCCCTCGTATTATTCTATTTAGTCGAAATTGTTTCATAATTTAAAATAAATTCTGCATTTATCTTCATTTAAAGAATATATGACATATTATTAATTTTTATTTAATTGTAAATCACCAAATAGAGCAATAAAAATTGAGATATGTTGGGATGTCAAAAAAATTTCACGTGAGCAGTTATGTAAAAAAATCACGCTAGTAAAAACCTCTTTTTACTTCTTGCCTTTTGTCAGCACATTGCAATTGATACGAAATATTTGAAATTATAAAATAAATGTCATATATGTATCACAATATAATTATGATATCACATTAAACGACTCGCGCCGCTAAAACAAGAGATATCAGAAATTTTTCATTAATTTCGCGACGAAATACTAATTGGATTATAATTTATTTCACATAATATAAAAAATCGAAATTATTAATATATGAATATGTATACGGGGCTCGGTCGTATTTAAAAGATAAAAAATTAATGCGACACCCGGAGCGATTCATAACGCAACCATCTCCCTCCAAGGTCGCCAAGCGAATGCCGAAATGATGACGTAGTCAACCACCGTGCCGCGCGACGCCCCACTCCTCGCTGTTCGCCTGGCGCTTCCCTTCGCTATTCACTGTTCGGATATCCAACTGTCGCGTATGAAAAAATATTCACGGTTTATTCAATTAAAACATAATTAGTTTTAAACATAATTAGTAATTATTCGCGTGGGTGATATTTCTGATATTTCAACATTATGTCTCAATTTTCGTTATTCTTTTTAATGATTCATATTTAAATAAAGGTTGATAATATATTCTATATATTCTTTATATAAAGATATATGCAAATTTTCTTAATATTGCGAAACAATTTGCGCTAAATACAGCTTTGGCTAAAAGTATTAAATATTTTGTTAGTCATTATTTAATTTTTCAGCTAAAAAATTAATTTATGACACTACTATTGCTGCAAATTACTCTGTATTTCAAAAATTCTTTAAACTTATGTATAATGCCGATCATGACTTGGTAAAATAACTCTTACAACTTATTTAAAAGAAAAAATATAAAACAGTTACCGAAAACTCTTATTTAAAATATTAAATAAGAAATGAATCAGAAGTGTTATTTAAAATAATGAATACTAAATAACTCTTTTATTTTTAGAATAAGACACGAATGACAGAATTTAGTAACTCAAAAATAATAAGAAAACAGCAAGTTGTTTGTTTTCCTTAGTGATATATAAAAAGATATAAACAGGGTTAAAGTAATAAACTATGAATGTGCTGAATTGTGCAATTCTCTAATGAGTATTTATTTTGGATATCATAATAAAGTATCTCTGCAAAGCTCACTAATTGTAAAACTGTTTATGTAACTAATCTAGTCGAAGTAGCATGTCAAAAATTATTGCAATATCTTAATTAATCATTATATCTTAATTAATTACATTAATTACATAAGCCACTCTTAACATATAAATATTATTGTATATATGTACATGCATATACGGTTTTTTTACACATTTTTTTGGACGAAACTGCATTGAACTTGTAACGATCGATGTTTCTCAAATGAACCTCGTCATGAGATCCTTACGATTTGACTAAATAAGATTACGAAGCTTCTGGTCGCATGTTTCTTTATACTAATTAAGTAGATCCAGGACAAAAGGGCTGTTCCGAAACAATTCTTTTTCATAACGATAATTTTATATCAGAATTTGGTTTTCATGATGCTGGATCACATCTCGGGAAAACGCCTGGAAATCACTGGTGTAATTGACGTCATTAGTTACGCTATAGACATCGATTAGGTCGATTTGAGGACACGACAGACTCTTCGCCGAACAGTGTTGCTAATTCGCTGATAGAAGAAATCTCAAAATTAGCCGTCAAAAATCTCTAGAAATCTCTAGTTTTTCACCAAAAAACTTAAAAATCTCCAATTTTTCAATTTTATTGAGAAATTAACAAATAATAATGAAATTGTGATGAAAGGCTACTTTCCGTTATTCACTACAAGTATCGAAAATTTATAATTCACGTTACGTGTACCATAAATCTTCAGTACTGGTAGTGAATAATACAATATAATAGAACGCAGCTTTAATAGCATTTGCATTAAAAGGTTGTGTCCCGATATTTATTGGCTACGTTCAGCAGAAAAAGCAGCTTTGCAACTGTTGTAAAATTCTTCAATATGATTGGTTTATACGTTTAGATCTGTAAGGAATCAAAAGCAAGAACCAATCGTATTGAAGAATTTTACAACAGTTGCAAAGCTGCTTTATGCGTTCAGCAGAACGTTTGTTTTGCAACTGTTGGAAGTTTCCTTCGCGCTAATTGGATCATACTTTTAGATCTAGAAGAATGGTCCTATCTCAGCAGACAATCATAAAACGGTTGCAAAACTGTTGAGTCTGCTGAACGCAGCCATTGTCAATAAACAGGGCTGACATGTGTTTGAAATACTTTCATTTGAAAAACAGTATTAGTAAGACAAATATTATATATTTTGTTTTGTGTTTGTTCGGAGTACATAAAAATATTTTGTATTTTGTGTTTCATGGAAGCATAAAAAAGTATTTTGTATTTTGTATTTCAAATACTAACATTGACAATCAACCTTATTATTTTCAATTACATAAAATACAAAAATCTTTCAACCTTTCGATTTTAAATACAAAAATACGTAATACTTTTATATGATTCGCTGAAATAAAAAATACAAAAAAATACGCTTGTATTGCAAATAATGTGTTTTAAATAAAAGTATTTCAAATACATGTCAGCCCTGTCAATAGATAACCTGTAGCTGCGTCAAGTACATACACTATAAATTTTCAGTACTGGCAGTGTATATCGGGACACGGCCAGGAACGAGCTTGAAATATTCTAGAATTCTCCAAATATTTTTCAAAAATCACCAGAGTTTCGACATGTCGCAAACTTGTAATAAAAGTCTCTGTAGGCTATAAAAAATCTCCAAATTAGCGAGAAAATTGCTAAATTGACAATACTGTTGCCGAGAAATATCGAATCAGTCGTATCTATATAACGACGTATAACGACGTAGTTTATCTCTTGTTGATGTATATATCGCGAATTTGGTCCGTCAGCCACTCGATCGCCGGCTGCAGGCCCTCGCCAGTTAATGCATTCGTCGCCCGTATATGCCAGGGTTTATTTTGTATTCGCTCGAGTCCCAGTCCAGCGACTAATTTTACGGTGGTCAAAGAATCGGGCAGGTCCATCTTGTTCGCCAGGAAGAGAATGGGTATCTTGCGTCCTGAAAAGTTTACTTCTGCTTTCAAGTCTCTTACTTAAGAAATTACGTGTGAAATACGAACATTCGAAAGAATCTAGATTCTAGATCTTCTAACTGATCGTCTATTTCTGTGTTAAACGAGCACTTGCTATTAGAATTTTATCATCTACTATGAAAACCGTACCTGCAACATCGGGATGCTGCAGAAGCATGTCCAGTTCTTCCTTTACAACAACCAGTCGCAGTTTATCGCTGCTGTCAATTATGAAGATGATCCCGTGGCAATCTTTGTAATAATGCTCCCACAATGATCTATGACGATCATGACCCGACATATCGAACGCGGTGAAATTGACATTTTTAACTGAAACAATAATTTCGACTTAATCGCACCAATGAAATAAAAGCAAAGCCCTAATATAAAGTATATATACTATGGGGATTATATATTATTATTATTATACATATATTATATATGTATGTATATCACAATTTGTACAATTTTATGTTCAATTCCTTATTTCGTGTCTGTGGTTTGAATAAGAAAAATATTTATATTTTCTTTTCCCGGCAGAGTTTATGCAGAGTAACTTAACAATTAAAATTTTTTGTTGTTTACTTATCAGTTAAGTCTGTTTCCACTGATAGCAATTTAACTTTAATCTTGATTCTATCAGACATCTTTTTAGTAGACGTCTTATCTCTAAAAACTATCTTTTAGATATCTTATATAATATAACATGCGATATCTGGGATGCTTCATTTTCTTCTTACAAGGGAAGTTTCACAATTGTCCGGAACCGATTTGATTCTCCATGAAGTATGTTGTTAAACACGAAAATCTAAGAGAGAGAGAGACACATATTTTTTTATACGTGCGCTAACTCATGTTTAAGGGTTAAATTAAAAAAATTTTTTTGTTAACAATTGTTAAACAAAAAAATTAAAAAATTTTTTTTCTTTACAACATTGAAGTACTCTTGAAACAGTACAACTTTTGTTTAAAAAATTTTTTTTCACATCTTTTATACTTCTGACGGTATTCGGCTCGAAATAGAAATACCGTTTTTTTTTTTTCAAAAGGGTGTTTCACCCCTTAAATATGAGTTAGCGCACGTATAAAAAAATACGTGTCTCTTAGATTTTCGTGTTTAACAACATATTTCATGGAGAATCAAATCGGTTTCGGACAGTTGTGAAATTTCCCTTGTTAGTTTTAAGAATTAGAAAAAGGTGAAGAGTAAGTTGAACCGACATTAAGGTCCAGTTCCACAACTCACGGTTAACTCTTAACCGAGATTCAACTTATTCATTGTCTCTTTCCAATTCTAGAATTAGAAAGAGATGAGAAACAAATTGAACCTCGATTAAGAGTTAACCGTGAGTTGTGGAACTGGGCCTAAATGTAATCTATATTGGCGAAAATGGGGATCAGAAACCAAGAGACAACTCCAGTTTTTATAAATTTTTTAGCTTTAATACTGGAATACATGATTGATTTAATCAATTTTTTATCTACTTATTATTTATGGAATTGATTAGCTTGACATAACAATGTCTATACAAATAAATAAAAAACTATTGAACTTTTTAAAAAAGAATTGAATTTTATAAATAAATCCATAGATGTCTGTAATATTTTGTTTAAAATAGACGTCGATAAAAATTAATCTTTTAATCATTAACCGAAGTTTGATCAAAATCATCTTTAATCACCAATTGCATTAGAGTTTAGTAAAATTCGCCTTAAAAATAGCAGAAACACCAATGCGCCATCTGAAGAGGAAAGTAGAGCAGTCGAGATATGAAAATAATTGAAAGCAACGAATAATTTTGGCACGAATTCGTTTGATTTTGTTTCTGTTGCAAGTGACATAACGATTGTTAGAAACGAAAATGGAAACGCAAAGTTCCACGAGCGGTTCGAATAACGACAATATGAATATCGACCCGGCAAACAAAGGTGCGTGAACTGTTCATCACAAACCATCACAAACGAAGATCCTAACCCCACTAAAGCCACGAGGAAGTTAACCTATTTCTGGTTTTTAGATGCGATAGTCGCAGAAAAGACGAAACTGCACCAAGAGATAAAAGAGCTGAGAAGCATCATCAAGCAGTGTGAACAGAGTCTGCAAACTCGCTTTAAAGACATAGAGGATCATGTAACCAAGAAACCGTTGCAAAACTTGGAGACTTTCTTGACTTTTAATAAAATACTGAATGTCCAGGTTGATCTGAAGAACGATCTGTATAGATTCGCTGGTTTTCGTTGCGTTAAATTTCGGAAAAATGAGTCTATATTTAATTTTACGTCAACAAATGAAAAGCAAAAGGACAATACTCAAGCAGTACAGATTCTTGTTAAGGATGGAAAAGGCAAACTGGGGAAATGGGTAATGCCAGTGTCAATCGACATAAATAATATATTATCCAAAACGCCAATTGACAAATTAAAAAATTTATCTGCCTTTATAAAGAGCTGCAAGCACAATGTTGATTGTTATACTGTACGACAAGAGCAGTTCCTGTCGCTAAAGGTATATTTTCATCTTATTAAAATGATAATATATATGTAGAATAAATTACTTTTGAGCTATAATACAAATATTTTTTTTAGGAACGTATGTCACGTATGAAGCATTGTACTTTGCAATCTGATATGGGATTTAAGCAAATCAGTTTGGAATTGTATGGTGTACACAACAGTGAAAATGATAGCTATATGAACTTGATAATACATTTGCTGTATCATTCTGACACTACAAGACCTCATAAAGTTGAGATTAATACAATAAACGGAAACAAATTAAATGATGACATCAAACAGAAATTAAAGACATACTTTAAGCAATTTAAAATATCAGACCTGCAAACAGCTTTTGACGAGATTCTATCAGAGAATAACTCTACATTTACATGGATGCAAGAAGATGACACTGAAAGTCCATTAGAGCTGAATGTATGGCATTTAGATATAAAAATATTTGAAAGATTTTGGTTCATGATTAAGAAATATTTTAACAATTTTATTTTTAGGATACTAGCAACTCTGATGAGGAAGACTTCTTAGTCCAGCTACAATCAGAACAAACGAGATCATTCAGAAAATTGCAGAAAAAACGTCAATTACAGAAGAAGTGGAGTGAAAGAAAAAGGCAAAAAACTACCACTGAAAATACTAAATTATCAGAAGATAGTTCAGAAGATAATCAAGAAACTAATCATCCAAATGCAAAAAAAGCACGCACTAAACGTCCACAGCGAATTTCGATAAAGAAAAAGAAAGCAGAGAAGGCTACTTCTGTCTTAAAACAAAAGAAAATTAATAAAAATCCAATAGAAACAACTCTATTCGACAAACCTAAGGTTAAATTGAAACAAACGAAATTGAATTTCCAAACTCAAATGGCTACGACTTCTAATGCAAATCAAATATCTTCATCTGAATCAAAACTAAGTAATAAACCAGACAGCAAACAGTCAAAGACCTCTAAACTAATCACCAGTACACCACTATGTCGCAAAGATGAAATTAGAAATGTACCCTTGTCACCTACTCTGGAAATTAATAATATTACACGTATTGATACGACAAAGAAAACGGCAATTAGATTAGATTACTCCAAAGATAGTAATGAATTAGGAATTAAGACTCCAGAAAAGAAGACACCAGAAAAGGTTGATCGATTATTACGAAGTAGTACAAAGTCTCTTAGATCATCAAAGGTTTTGAATACGACTCAACGTCGTACTAGAAGTATGAAAAATTAAAAATGTATGTTTAAAAAATAAATAAATATTTAAGATACATAAATATATTAAAAATATCGAAGTATGTCAATTACAAAAAAAATAGATATAATTTCTTTACATCTCAAATATGCATTTTATAAATGTTTATACATTTTATTAACAATTTTTTATGTAGCGTCATCCTCCATTCTATATCATATTGTAAAATAAGTGGCCAATGCTGTGATTTTAAGATTGTGCAGGTGCAATAGTGGACGCGTGAAGATAGCGTTGAAAGCAACAGAATCTCACACTTTTGACACTTCGTCGCTTTTCGCTATTTAACTTACATGCGAATTTTTCGACATTAAACCCGACAGTGGGCACTATGTCTATGCAACGGTCATCCTCGCGTTTGAAATTATTTATGACCGTTGACTTACCACTGTTGTTAAGGCCCACTACTAAAACGTTTACTTCTTTTTTCCTAAGACCTAAAAGGTTCGCTAAACGATCGAATAACCCCATTTTCTTGGCGTTGTAAGTTTCCTCACATTTATTGAACATCAATAATCACCCCCACCCCTGCCGTTTACGTTATTGCGGATTAGAGTAGAGCTAGAACAATTCAATCCCTTCCGATGTTTTGCCTGCATCAATAGGGAATTTACGCTAATATTTACGTTTTTAGGGGTCTCTGATGTGTTCTTAATTGAAGACAAAAGACAGTGTTTTTAATAATTAGGTCATTTACATTTGACATTATGAATTCCTTTATTTTTAAAATAAAAAATGTAACTAAACGATACTTAATTGCTAGAAATTTTTTTGAGAGCATTGTTACCAGTCTGGGGGATTTCATCCATAAGCGTGGTCGGATTCCCACCTGAGTGCTCTCCGGGTGTCATGTCATCTTTATTTAACGTTCGGTAAGTAACAAGAATGGAATAATACCTGGGTGGCACTCGGGTAGGAATCTGAACACATGGTGGAAATATACACTACGCGCATAAATTAAAGCATCACCTCTCACACCTTCGAAAAATGGGTAAACTTCAAAGAAGTATAACTTCTACAAAAATGGTCAAAATGAGATTTTAAAAAAAGCATTTTGTAGCTTGAAATCTCTACTTTCCAAATCTGTATAATGAAATAACGATTCGGCTGATTTTTACGGAACTACATGATTATAAAGAAAGATCCGTAAAATCTCAAAATTTTTTGTAAACTTTGCACAGTTTCATGCCGTGAATGAGAAGTCGGACACAAATACAATTCACAGCTTTCGAAAGCGTGATCCTTTACCTTCAATTTACTTTTTTTTTACCTCTGTACGATTTTTTTTTACCGAGTTATTCAACATTGAAGTGAAAAAATGGTCCCTTTGACTTTGACTGCTCATAAAAGACGAACTGAGTGACGTACAGCATTTTTTGAACAAGCAAAAAAAAGTTCAAAGTTTTCTCTTTAAGATGCTTTTATCAATTTTTAGACACAGATAAGCTTTTTATGTAAAAACTTAAGTGAAAGATAAAGTTGAAAATTGAGACAATTACCTGTTTCTATTCAACTCGATCTATTCTGATCAAAAAGAGAGAGAAACCCTATGATATTAACGTAATTTTACACTTTAGGGTCTACTGATTTCAACGAGACTCATGCCTGGTTTATGCTTCGGTCTTAATCCTAAAATCCTAAAATTTAACCAATGGAATACAGATTTCAGTTAGGACCAATTAAGACTAGCAGACCTATTGGCTGAATTTTAGGATTTTAGGGTTAGCCTAAAGACCGAAGCATAAACCAGGCATCATACAAAACAGTTGCGACATTTTCCGGATAACGCTAATGCCAGCGGTGTGATCACATGCTGCGATATAAGCAAGCACGAACCCGTGTCCCGTGTGACTTGGTAGTTAGAAGCGTTGCCGATTATACTCTGACCTTTTCGCACTTGTTCAGAGTATAGTCGGCACGCTTCTAACTACCAAGTCACACGGACACGGGCTCGTGCTTGTTGCTACCGGTTGCGCCAGGCCGTCGACCGGTGGCGCTGATCGCGTGCTGCAAGCGGCCCGAAATTCGCATCACTGGGTGCATTCAGCAGAACGTTTGTTTTGCAACTGTTGGAAGTTTCCTTCGCGCTAATTGGATCATACTTTTAGATCTAGAAGAATACGTCAATAGCAGCGAACGCTCACTCAACTGTTGAGTCCGCTGAATGCAGCCAATGGCTGCGTTCAGCAGACTCAACAGGTTTGCAACCGTTTTATGATTGTCTGCTGAGATAGGACCATTCTTCTAGATCTAAAAGTATGATCCAATTAGCGCGAAGGAAACTTCCAACAGTTGCAAAACAAACGTTCTGCTGAACGCAGCCATTGGCTGCATTCAGCGGACTCAACAGTTGAGTGAGCGCTCGCTGTTATTGGTGTATTCTTTTAGATCATCCAATCATAATTTTAGATCTAGAAGAATGGTCCTATCTCAGCAGACAATCATAAAACGGTTGCAAACCTGTTGAGTCTGCTGAACGCAGCCACTGTTTCCACCATGCAACATATCTCGTGCATTCGTTTACGCAGCGGTTGGCGCAGAAGTATTATTTTAGCCTTGTTGTTCACCAAATGTTAAACAAGGATTAAATGATACTCTCTGCGCTAACCGCTGCGTAAACGAATGTAAACATCATGTTATATGCGCCGACCCTGGATTTTGCATCACTAGGCATATTTGATTGGTTCACCGTTCCCCACTATTTTTATACTACTGCGCATCCATCAGATTGTTTCACCTTATATATTTCCACCATGGCTGAACATAGCTCTCATTAGCTCTCATGTTCGAACTTCAACTTCTAGGGCACATGTTTTACGTTTTGCATGTAAAGTTCAAAGAAATATATATATATATATATAGACGTGTCAATGCTTAATTCGGATAGATAAATACATTACATTAGGACGATTACTTTTGTTGTATTTATACTACTTTTTTGTATATACGATCAGTTGAGCAAAACAAATCAAGATGGTAAGTTTTAATACGTATTTACAAAACATCTTATTGCTATATATATTTTTTTAAATTTCCACCGACTGTTCAATTCACCCTGAGGATTATATAGTACACAATGTTTTTGAACTATTAAATTGAAATTTGTATTCCTTAATTCCTGGTATACGAGATTTTTTAATGTTATAATTCATAGTCTCTAAACTTAACCTCAATCTTTCATCAAAGTAAGTTACTCCACCTGCTGACTACTAGGCTATGGTTGATTCACACTCACAACGCTCGTGAACATTATTTATCTTTATTTAACAAGGACGAAGTGATTTCCAGAATATTGTGAGTGTGAATTAAATCTCAGCAATAGTTGACCACATTCACATATAGCCATACGTCACTTATTTATTTTTTTAGAGTACTAATAGCTTAATAATTATTTCACATCTCTGAAATAACAATGTAATTGCAGCCAAAGGGAAAAACAAAAAAGTTTATTGACAAGAAGAATTCTGTTACATTCCACTTGGTTCATCGTTCACAAAAAGATCCATTAGTGGCAGATGAAACAGCACCACAAAGAGTCCTAGTTCCAGTTGCTGATACACAAGCGGCAAAAACAGAGAAGAAATCATTAGACAGTGAAACACGCAAAAAGGAGCAGCATAAATATGGGATTTACTTTGACGATGACTATAATTATTTACAACATCTTAAAGATGTCAATACATTGTCAGTGGAATGGGAACGCGTCGAGAACACGAATAATTCCAAATGCGACAAGAGTGCTCCAAAAATTAACTTACCATCTTCGGTGTTTCAATCAAATGTCGAGGAAAAAGTTGGTATGCTTAATAAAGCAGCACCAGTTTCCGGGCCACGATTAGATTTAGACCCGGATGTAGTCGCTGCAATGGATGATGATTTTGATTTTGATGATCCTGAAAATCAGTTAGAAGATAATTTCATAGAATTAGCTAATGCTGGAAATTGCGACAGCGAGGATTCTGACAGAGAATATGGTAAATTTATTAAAGTATGTGATAATATCATACACATTCACTTAATCTTACTATAATTTTGTACTTTTAGAATATGAATTAAACGAACCAAAAAATAAATATAGTGAATCAGATGTCTCATCTGATGGTTACATGGATTTATCCAATGAGGAGGCAGATGAAGTATGTAGTTTGAATGGACCTCAATATACTTTTAAGGATGAAGAAACGAAATCAAGGTTTACAGAATATTCTATGAGTAGTAGCGTGATGAGGAGGAACAAACAACTTACATTGCTGGATGACAAATTTGAAAAGGTTTATATTATAGATTTATTTTTTCAAACATGACATTGTACGTTCTTATCTTGTTTATTATACAGATGTATGCTGGATACGATGAAAATGAAATTGGTGCTTTAGATTGCGACGAAATAGAAGGATATATAACGTATGACTCTGATCTTGTTATGCAATATGCTGCTGAATTTGAAAAGAAGCAAAGAGAAGACGTAAGTATTATGTAAAAGTGTAATAAAAAATATACTATTTTCCCTAACATTTGTAGACGGAAAATATCACGGAACTTATGAAAGACAGAATGAAGATTGTGGAACCAGAATATTCGAGTTCAGAAGATGAACATTTTGAAAAACTTCTTGTTACTGCTCGTGGAAGGGATAAATGGGACTGTGAAAGTATTCTTAGCACATATAGTAACATTTATAATCATCCTAAATTAATATCAGAACCTCCTAAGGTAAATTATTAATCAATGTTATTAAAAAATATATTCATTCTAGTAATAAATATAAATATATGTATAATTTAATTATATATTAGTCTTGCCGGGAACAAATGTTATATAATTATATATGAAACATTTTTTCGCGGGTTGATACTACACTTATTGATTTTATATGTTTTTTTGTTTCTTTATAATAGCGATCAAAGAAAATTGAAATAGATCGAAAATCTGGTATTCCGAAAAATGTATTAGGCAATACTGGAAAATTAACAGCTGAAACTTTGGCCCAATTTGATATGGAAAATAATGTGCCAAAAGGCCTACAATCCGTAGCGGAAAGTAGGAAATCTACCTTAAGCATTCTAAGTATAAGACCCAAAGAGGAAACTCCTGACGGAAGAAAAGAAAGAAAGAAGCTGCTCAAAGAATACAGAAAAGTAATTTTATTAAACATTTACTGTGGTTGGGTTGATCAAATTTTATATATAACATGATTTCTGAAATTTCTTCAATTTTAGGAAAGAAGGATAGAGCGAAAGGCAAACACCGAAGCATTTAAAGAAGAAAAGAAACGCCAAGAGAAGATTCGATTGAATAACAAACAAAACATTCAAGGAACTCGTATAGTATAAAATTGTCAAAATAATATGTTTTGCAACTACGATTGTGTCTCAGGTTGCAGATTTAACAACTTTGATTTTATGTATAAAAGATACGCATTGTATATTAAAAACGTTTTTCTGGTAGGTTAAATATATCTATATTATATAGAAATATTTTATTTAAAAAGTAATTTTCTACATATAAGAAATATATTATATATGTATGTGACATTTATAAATCATTGTATCAACTATGTATGTTTATCAATTTTCATTAAAACCTTTCAATTCTATTGTTAAATCTATCTTCTAATTTTTAAATTGAGCAAAAAAAGATAAGGAAAGCTCTTGAAAAGAACAGTTAAAATTTACTTGTATGAATTCACGAGTCTTGATGGGCTATTCGCTATTTTTATTTGAGAAGAAACAGTGCAAGAATCAAAATTATAAAATAATGTACTATTATTTTCAATTGAGAAACCAGGATGTAATAATAATAATAATAACAATAACATTATTATAATTATAATAATTATAATTCTTACACTGCGACTTCTCAATAGAAAATAGCGAATAGCTTATCAAGACTTATTATTATTATTATTTATAAGTATCATTATTATTGTTATTAATTTTTATACCGTATGAGAAACTGAAAACATACTCATGCGTAGAAGAGCAATCAAATGATACCAAATGATATGGAAAGTGGAATGGAACCACGTGAGCGAGCACGAGATAAGGAGCGCCGTCGTTTAAGGCGGGGCAGAGGACGGAAGCTCCAAAGTCATATGATCGATTCGTGACAAAGCTCGCCGTTCCCGACTCGCAAAGATGGCCAGCCAGACGCAGGGAATTCAGCAGCTTCTGGCTGCCGAAAAACGCGCTGCCGAGAAAGTCTCGGATGCCAGGAAACGTAAGTGCACTCGTCGCCAAAATATTTCGGGAGAGGAAGAAAAAAATACGTGCTGCGACGCGGATGTGCTAACTGTGATTACCGTAACCTTTTGGTCACGACGTTGACTCTTTTTCTGAAATTGACGCGTCGTGTGATGAATTTTTGACCTTTTTTCCTAAGCCGCGAAATTTATGGAGAAATCAGTTTTAATTGTATTGTCCAGTGATTCGCGAAATTACACTTGATAGGGAGAACATTTTAGCTAACCTACATGCGATTTATTTTTGTTATCATTAATCATACTCTTCCATATTTACACGAATTTATTGAATATTGTGTTTATTGAATGTTATTTAGCTGTGTCTAACTTTGTTTAACAGAGTTCCGAGTCTTCTTTGATCTTTTGATTAATTATGTAGATGTTCTGACTTAATGGTTGAGTTTAAGAATTTGTTCTATACATTAACACTGATAAAATAACTAACATTCTATACATTAACATTGATAAAATAATGTTAAGATAAAATTGAATCAGAATGTATTTTGTGTAGGGATCTGGAAAAAAATCTGGAGTTTATCATTGTAATCTCTCTTTTACTTTTATAGGTAAGGCACGTCGTCTGAAACAGGCCAAAGAGGAAGCCCAGGACGAGATTGAGAAATATCGACAGGAACGAGAAAAACAGTTCCGTGACTTTGAGGCCAAGGTAAGTATCGTTTCCTTTATATTGAGATTTTTATTGTTAAGTTTAAATTTCAATATTCAAGTTGACATAATAATGATAATAATATTACTCGTAGCACATGGGTTCAAAAGAGGATGTAGCTGCGCGTATCGAGGCAGATACGCGACTTAAGATAGAAGAAATGAATCAGACCGTTGCTGTGCACAAAAATATGGTAAGTTCGTTACGTGTAAATTTAATCGATAGATTACAGACAGATATATGAGAAACTACAATATCGACTCTCTATGTAATTTAGGTCATGCTTAAAATCTTGGACTTGGTGTACGATATCAAGCCGGAACTGCACAAAAATTACCGCATTGAGGTCTAATCCACAAAAATCGCATCTAATATAGCTATAAATATGATACGTCTTACGCTCTATAAATATATATTAAATATTACTGTTCACCATATCTCAATATGTATTTATCGCTGTTATATCGTATGACATGTTATATTTTACCTGAGAAACTGTATGCAATGTAGCTGTAGGCAGTGATACTCAAACTACTACTAGAATTCTTTTCTCCCGCAGTTGCTACACGACAATAAATGTAATCGTATTGTTATTACCGCTGAGCTTTTCACTGGCACATATTCGGACAGTTTGAGAATTGCTGTAATGTAGCATCGTAACAAAGAGAAAAAAAAAGTAACGTGGATTCAACAGAGTACCTCGACCTGATGCGTCAAGGCCTAGACACATCGGGATGATGTACGATTGTTAAAATAGGTACGATTAATGCGATTTAGGGTGATGGTAACGAATTGTATATGTCGTTCAGTGTACGCCATTAGATGTCATTCCATGATTCTGTTACATCGAGGACGTGCTATCAGATTTTTCCCTACATCACGGACATGCTCCCAGTCGACGGTGGACCACGCGACGATGTAGCAATATTCAGACTTCTCATCTTTTAGCGGGAACGTTTCAAATCTCTGTTAATCTTGCGAGATGGGCAGCTTTGCCTTACATGTATATCCTTGTCTTTATGAGCTGGTTGGTTGTCTGTACAGTATTAGTGTTCAAAATATAAAAAAAGGAAAGAAAACCCCAAAATGTTGTATGATTTTTCGCTTTTCATGTTACTACTATTTTCACAGAACTGTATAACATGCTCGACATAATGTTGATCTTGAAAAGAGAAATATATATATATTTATATTATATAAAAATAAATATATATATATATATATATATAAAACATTAATGAGAGGAGAATCCTTACGTTTTCAAGAAATAAAAAAAAAACGTACCTACTGAATTTACAATGTATATTGTAACAAAGGTATACTCTATTATATAAGCATTTCGCTTTCGGTTGTTTGTAACCTTTTTTTTCCGATATGTGGTGTCGAATTTGCAGATTCGATTAATAGAATATTCAAAGAACTGTCGCGATAAAATATTGAGAGGTTCGTTGAATTAATCAATAACCACGTTATCGGTTTTATCGATTATTAATGACGCATGAAAATTTGACGATACGTCGATCTTCCTTCATGGATTCAGCATTTATGTGCACGCTGCTTTATAATTTACAATTGCAAGTTCAAGCTAATTCCTCTCTTGGTACAGCAATTGCACGATTATCGTTATATACGTATTGTCGAATTAATCTCACAATCAATGTGAAATTATAATGAAACTTGTAATTATATAATTTTCTTGTCGTAAATTATATATTATACATAATTTTCTTACTAAAATTAAAATTAAAAAATCTGATCAAACTTTTTCTTAAATAATGTGTACAATGCAGACATTCTTTTATGAAAAAAATACTTTTAAAACTTTATAAAAAAACATTTCTATATAAAAAATGTAGCAAAAAATTAATGTACTTCGTTGATTTCTCCTCTCTACGATATTTTTTATCTTTTTTTTTACAAAGAGCAAGAAATATCTGTTCAATTAAATAAAGCTCCTTGGATAAATTACTGGCTGCAATCGAGAGCATTTGTGGCAGCATCATTGAAGATAAAACAACTTTATATCTAAAAATTGACTATGAATATCGGTTCGGTATTTATAGTCAATTCTTATATTTAAGATCGTCTTAATTGTAGTTCTTAAGATGTCATAAACCAATTTTAGACAATCTTAAAATAAGAATAGACAATGCATTAAGCCGGAATCAGACTACGCATTGAAGATTGAGGTTGAAGATTGAAAAATTCAGATTTAACTAGTCTGATTCCGGCCTTAGTCCGTTTTTATTTTAAGATCGTCTTAAGTAATATCTAAGATGTTAATACAATAAAGACTTCTGATTGACTTATGACATTTTAAGACTGTGTTTAAGACAATTTTAAAGGTAAGAATCGATTGTGAATATCGGCTTCTGGCTAGTATTAGCATTTTAAAACATTATTTAGTCTGTTTATCTGTTTATCTGTTTATCTATTTATCTATTTATGAAATAAGAAGTGACTATCGTCGATATTCATAGTCAGATCTTATATTCAAGACCATCTTAAGTTTAGTTTTGAGATGTCACGAACCAATCAGAGGGCCGCATTAGTATCTTAAGACATTGGCTACGTTTACACCGTGCATTTAGGCCGCGGCCTATACAATAGATGTCCTTGTTTATCTTGTAGATTAAACAAAGACACTTATCGTATAGGTCGCGGACTAAGCGCACGGTGTAAACGTAGCCATTACTTAAGACGGTCTTGAAATAAGAACCGACTATGAATATCGGCCTATAAATGTCGATCAATGTACAGAGAATTTGATTGGCTGATCAGTTTGAGTGCGCCGACGCACGACTATTTTAGAACAGACTTAAATGTAACCGATAACGCGTTCTTCGCGCCAATTTGAAACACAAATATTTTCTACTTTTCCTTTTTCGCGTCTTTTGTACGTAAATTTTCACACGTTCAGATCCTTATGAGGAACATTGAGTAAATCGATATACATTTTGCTGAAAAATGCAAAAAAAGCATCTAACTTCCGCCAATTTAAATCATTCACATTTCAAATTTTCTCAATTTTGCGCGGCTGTTGGGCCGCCATGACAGTTCGGCGAATCTTTCGATTCGAGTCGCTCCGTGATTAATCGCGAATTTATCGGTCAAGAACGCGGTCAAAAATCGGTTATAGACGCGAATTTATGTCGAAAGTGCCGATTAAAGCGACGGGTGTATGATTGTCGCGAGTTCGTCGTATATAGGTTGCATTCGAGGAGTGCGCTATTAGCGCTATTTGTGTCATCTATCTTTGTTTTACGTTTAATAAACAATGAAGATAGAATGATACAAGTAGCACTAATAGTGTCTCTCCGAATGCACCCATAGTCGAGACCGTCAGGGCTATTCTGTAACTCTTAACGCAAGTTTCGTTATCGTTATAACGTCGTTGCGTAGCTTTTTTACCATAATAAAAAAACTGCGCAACGATGTTATAACGATAACGAAACTTGCGTCAAGAGTTACAGAATACACGCAAAAAAATATTTTGCTGTTCCAGCTAGAATTATAGCTGTTTTTTGTATCTGATAGAAAATTATGTATCATACACATAGAATTTATAGCACAAATCTAAATTCTATCTCTGTCATTTATATGATTAGATGCAATACATATCCAATATCGCAGTACTTGCTAGAAATTTATCTATTCCAGCTATTTTTCGTACTTAGATAATTTCCGCTGTAACTGCAAGATCACTTTTTTGAGTATAGAGGCCCGTGTCATGATATGGGCTGCGGTCCACTTGACTCTATAAACGCTTCGAAAAGCATTCTTTGATTAGTCAATTCGTAAAATTCTTTGTTCTGATTGATCGCTCAAACGCTTCGAAGCGTTTATAGAGTCAAGTGGACCGCAGCCATAAACATCGAAACGAGAAGGTAAGCGTCGATCCCTGTTTTGGACGCGCAATACCGATCCTGGTAGCAAGCTGACGTCAAAATGATGGCCTTCGACATCAAAATGACGTCAAAATGACGTGTGTTGCTACCTGGGGAGTCGTTCTTTTTGGACAATCGGGGCGCGATCGACGAAGTATTTCAAAGAAATAAATCGTCGTAAATATGCCTAACGAAATAATCTGCTACAGAAATCGTACGTCGCGGAACAACGCGATTCATTTCGATGTTTCAACACGGCGGCACGAATATGCGTTTGTTCAACGGTAAAGCGCGCGAATCAAGTTTCGAAATTATACGTAATAAAACACGTTCGTTTTCGTTCATGATCGTTTCCTGGATGGGATTCACGTAAGCGTTCTGAGAAGAATTCTCTCTTGCGAGAGAATGGAGACTTTTTACCTTAGCTGGTGAGTTGTTAAATTTATTATTCAGATTAATTCGTTTTTTAAATTAATATATACATAATTATACAATGACGCATTTGCACGATTGCCATTATTTGCAAAAGATTTATTGAAGTATTTTCAAAAGTATATTTTAAGGAATATTTTTATGCGTCACATATAAAATATTTGCTGAACATTGCTTCTTGAAATAATGAAATAATCGACAAATGAGTGTGCAATGAAATTTATAATCGATTAAATTAATTAGAATATATTATTAATTGTTCCAGGTGCAGCCGAGGACGTATTTAGCTCAACCGCAATGCCGATTAGTAAATTTCTGAACTGAATTTTATTATACTTGCGCGTTGTGATGTCTTATCTGTTATTTTGTCTCTTTATTGCCAATTATTAAAATGACCAACCAAAATTCGATTAATTTAATTGGTAATTATACATAAGTATATTATTTTATTATTGTATTTTATCATGGATAAATTTTGTTATTTAATAAACCTAAAAGAAATTAAACAATATATCATGTTAATTAGTTAGAAATTTCATTTTAAGTAGACCTACTGTTTAAATTCAAAGAGAATAACGTTTTCTATACTCTTTTTTATTTCAGACAATGCCGCGGTGATGTGAGAGAAGCGTTTAAAGAATCAGAATGTACGTACGTGTACAAAGTACAAAATTACAAATAGAATTTCACTTTGAAACCTGATTTAAATTATAAATAAGATCATTTTACAGGTCTCGGACATAAAACAACGATTCCAAAGTTCGCTGCACGTTTGTTTACGCGTGATGCATCAACGTAGCGACCGTTGCGTGTGCCACTGGTGGGGGTCGGCCATGCGCGCCGCGCGCCGCCGCGCGTGATAGTAGGGATGATCAGCTGTACTTAACTCCCGTCGTGGCGTCGACGGTCGACCTCCCTCCCCACCATCCCCTCCTCGTGCTCGACGCGCCGCGCCACGCCGCGCCGCACACTCGACGGTACGTGTTCCGCTCGCTTGTATCCTCGTATCTGTGTTGGTGTGCCAGTCCCGACGCCGACGGTAGTGTCAGCTGCGGCGCTAGCGCCACTCGATCGAGCGGCCGGAGAGCGATTCGATTTCGCGAACTGACCCGCGGCGGCGACGAGCGGTTAGTGCGTGTGCCATTCCGTGCCGAGAAATGGAAGCCGACGAGCCACGTTCGGTCTCCGATACGAGAACGAGCACGTTGTCGACGTCGTACGTAGTCGTAGCGCGCGAGCCCGTCGCAGTGACAGCTGTGCACGTACGTAGCTTTTGAAGTTTTGTTATGACAAAGAACGTACCACCGGGGACGACCGGTCGCCGACCAGCCGCGTATCCGGAGAACGAGAGACCGTT